TGCCACCACAGCATGGCTTAATGAGCAGTGTGTATGTCCCGCCTGGCATCCTAAACCACAAACCCCATACCTTGAAGCAGAGAACATGAACTTAACCCCTACATGCCACTGGGCCAGCCCTTCTAATATTTAAATAGAGGTTTTAAAGCATTAGCTAATTCCATCATCTCTGATATCCTAGTTATGGATCACATTTTCTTGCATCTTCATATTTCATATGTAAATTGAGTAGTGTATATTGTTGAATGCTGGTTTTATCACCTTCTTTAAGATGTGTTAGACTCTGTTAAGTTACTTACAGAACAAAGTGATACTTTAGAGGCCTGTTTGAAAGCATTTTTAGGTCAGATATAGAATTGCCTTTACTCTAGGCATCGTTTAGCCCCACTACTTAGGGGTGCCCCACCTGTATTCTCCACTGAAGGCTAGGTGTTCCATAGGACGCTTGCAGGCTATTAGGAACCTGAATGTTTGCCAGATCTCTTGTAAGCTTCAGATTTTAGTTCTCTAGTCCTTCCATTTCTAGCCTTGTGGAATTGCCCCCTTGATTCTGTGACTTAGATTTAGCAACAGGCCCAAGGGATTCCTGTGGAGATTTATGTATCTCTTTCTCCGTCAAACACCCTCCACTCCAGTACTCTGTTCTGAAAGTGTTGGCTACCTCACCCTCCCAAGAATTTTTCTTTTTGTCCCATAAATTCTGTAAGACCACCATGCTTTGCTTAGTACCCCTCTTCTCGTAGCACAGTTTGTTAAGTGCCTAAAGTCAAGACCAGGACAGAAAACCTTGCTTGTTTCCCCTCTCTCAGGGATTACAATTCTGCACTGTCTGTTGTACAGTATCTGAACACTGTTTATTTGAATACATTATCTGTAGTAGGAGAGTAACTCTAGTCCCAATTACTCCATAATGGCCTGGAGTGGAAATACCCACACTATTTATTAAAAGTAGAAATCACTATAAAATACATTGCTTGTGGGTTTTTCACATGTTTAAAAGTCATTAATAATCAAAAGATATTTCAGACATCAATCAAAATTGTAATAAAGTACTAAGTACTATATTTCCTCTAATTTTCATAAACACTATTACTAATAGTGTTACTATTAGATAATTAATTCTAGGCTATATAATCACTAGAAGACAAAAAAAGGCAAAAAATAAATTCAGGTTTAATTATCTCTGCTTCTTGATCTTTAAATTGGGAAAAAATCTTCAAAATGTTGCTTTCTTTTTTTAGCAGGATCACCTTATTAAATCTCAGCTGGGTCTTTAGAGACAATCATTTCTAACTACACTGATGAAAGTATTAAAATATTAAATAAACTTTTAGCATTTAAGATGTGCAAAATGGTTTGGAATAGTTTTGTGATTTTTCTTTTCCTTAATCTTCTATACTACATTGCTCATTCTGTCCAGCACCTAAGGTCACCTTACAAATTTAGTTTATAATAGCTTGAACACTTTAAATCAGATCTCAGAATTAATCAGTTTAAAATTTTGACCAGTTTAGTTACTAACCCTATACTAGTGATTGAATTGATTATTTCATCAACTTACTTCATTATATTAAGACAGGTGGTATTTATTTACCAATTCCTGGATTTTCTTTTATTCACACATTAAAATGTCTACAAATCTTATTTGGGTAAATAGATGCATGAGGATCTCAGAACTCTTAACTATTTATTGGCAGAACTTAGGTCCTTAAAGAAAGCAATTGGGAAGAATGTTCCTGATTAGCTAGTAAGTTTACTAAGAAATATTTTGAGGTTCTCCACACATTCATATTTCCCTGCGTCATATACGAGCCAGCAGGTGGCAAACTTGAGATTTTTTATACTATTGCTCTTGTTGAAGATGTACAGGTTTTGAACCATGTATCCCTGGATCTCATGAATAGCTCTTTTGGTGTCTCATGGCATGAGAAAAATTAAATATTAACTGTGGGGTCACTGGTATTTGGATAGCAATGCACTTTATTTAGTTTTCTCTTGATTTAGTGTTTTATCCTATAATTCTTTTTGAGAGATATTGGATGCAAATTTGAACCCATCTTTTGCTATGATTTTCACAATTAAGAGTAAATCAGCTGTCTTTGCATTTACTTTGGGAGGATCTTTACATCACTTAAAAAGGCATGCAAAATATACGTTATCTCCTGCAACAGATAATGTAATATACTTTTGTAAGTTCTAACAACATTGATTCTCATGTTTTTAAACATAAAACAGAAATTTTTTTTGTGGGTAGTGATTGTCTTTATTTTATTCCTATAAATATTTCTGTTTTAGTGTGACGCATTGATAGTCATTTGTAAGTGAAGATGAATTTAACTTCTTATACTTGCATTTGATTTTCAAGTTTTGGATTTTGTACCAATGACAGAGGATCAATCAATATTGGTTATATTCAGGCATATGATTAGGTTTTGGCATATTTAAGTAAACATATTTCCAGCCATCACATTCACAGATGAAAATTCAACCATAATACGTGATTTACGCATTTCTTCCTCTCTCTGAAATTCATCTATTGTTAACACTACCTCTAGGTTCTCTACAAATTAATTTCCCTTTCTATAAATTACACTTCTTCCTGTATGTCTACATTAACCAATCTGCTTTAACAATGACTATAGCTTGTTATTCTCTTTCTAATGGGGAAGAATTCTTTAAAAAGTAAAGCAGTGACTAAAAACCAACTGAAGTTTAGGCAAATAGATGCTTCATTATTTCTACATATAAATTGGATCATTTATATGACTTCAACAAGGTTTGAGTAAAATAAACTATGCTTTATTAAAGCCAAAAACTGTTAGAAAGATTCTAAGAATTGGCTATTTGGTACACTGATTTTTCAAGAAGAGGAAAGTGAATCCACTAATTACTCAACATAAGTGGTTGAGTTGTTCTTCAGACATCACAATAACTGGAGACCCAAGACCAAATAACTTATACTTCTTCCTTCTTTGCTATTTTATTTATAAGAGAAGAGTATTCAAATTTTTTAAAATATAGAATACAAATATATCATAAGGAAAGTAAATTACAGTGTAGAATTGAACTTAAACTATGAAACAAGCCCTGAATCACATTTAAGAAAACTGAAACTGGTACTTATCTTATAGATTGTATAACACTCAGCTTTAGTGTTCTCAGCATTGGGGCTTTAGAAAAAGAAGCTTCTAGTCAGAGTTGCACTAATGCACTGCACGAGTCTGCGTGTAATCGGAGGTCAAGATGTCCTGGTCTTGTCTAATGTGTCCTAACTCCATCCTCCTTTCTTCTAATCCTCCTCCTTCTTCTGGACATCTTCAAATGAGGAATCCAGTTTTTGAGAGGGGTGACCCACAGCCCAAAACACCTTCTCCTCCCTCTACTTCTTGGATCTTTCTGATGGAATACCTCGTGATTATTTATGAGGTAAAATCAGGGATTTGAAAATGAGGTCCAGACACAGCGATTCCCAGACTTCTAGAGTCCCATGTGCATCAGATTACAACACGAAAATGCCCAAGCCAAGCTTGACCCCTGCCTTAATGATTCTGAGGAGGGCTACTGTCATAAACAGTCATGCAATGAGTCAGATTTTTTACTTTAATAATGCCCTTTCCAATAGAGTACTTAAATGTACACATCTCTTGAATTTGAGTGAGAACATGCGACCTAAGTGGTCCTCGGTCTGACGACGCATCCCAGAACGTGAAGCAGCCAAGCAGCGCAGCTAGGGGAGAGCAACGGTCTGCGGGCTGGGGAGGAACAGCGACCACATCCCCACAGAATTACAGCCCCAGTCAATTGCGTTTCCCACCCACCTGCCTCCAACACGGAAGCTGACAGGTCGAGACAGCAGGGAGTACACGCTCCTTAAGAGCAAGCTTCAGTGTAGCTCTTATACAGAGAGGAGCTCCTTCGTGACGGTCCTTCAGAGTTTTAATGAATTTAAGAGTCTGGCCTTTCTCCATCCCCTGCTCTCTGTCTGCCTTTCTTTGCCCACTGCGCCCCCACCCCACCCCGCGTACACGCAGAAGAAAGTTTTACACAGACTGAGCCCCACGTTGACGTAGGCATTGCCTCCCCTCCCATCTGGGCAGAAGGGAACGAGTGGGGGAGACGCAGAGCTAGGGATCGCTTGCATTGCTAAGGTTAGGGTCCTGAGGTGGAGCCGATCAAGTGCCAATCAGGAGTATCGGTTCTAGACCCACAAATAGATCAAGATTTTTCCCTCCTCCATCAACCTCTTAAATACCAATGAGGTCAGTGCAATGAGAGAGAATCAGATCAAGAGAGAGGGCGAGGAAGAGGACGACGACGAGGGGGAAGAAACCCAGACGGAAAAAGGCCATCAGACAAGGTCGCTTTTTCTGGCGACACAGCAACTGCGAGGAGCGTGGTGCTGAATATCATCCGCCCGCTCAGCCTGGGGACCGAGGGACTCGCAGAAGCACTTTGTGTTATCAGGAAAACAAAGGAAAGGAGACGAGAGGCAGAGTAAGAGGGAAGCTCGGGGCAGTTCCGCTTTGGATCTCCGGGAAGCAAAGCTCTTCTCCTTGGCAAGGAAAGAAAGGGGAACCTGAAAGGGTCTGGAAGGCTGAGGAGGGAGCGGGGTTTCCCTACGGAGACTCGGGACGCGGCAGAACTCTGGACAGCGCCTTGCGAGTCGGGCTCGGAGCTTCCTGGCTCCTCCAAGGTTTCAGGCTCCCTCTTGAAAGCCCTTCTACTGGTGTGCTCTCCTCTCCTGGACTCCGACCACCGAACCCAGAAAAATCCTTCTACGATCCCTGTATGAACGTGCCAGGGTGTAGAGTGGCTCTTTTGCCTCTTGTCCGGTCAGGGAAGAAGGTCTGCGGTTCCGGAAATCCAGTCCTTGTGGATAATGCTTCGCTGGTGAAGAAAGAAAAGTTTTGGGGTCTGGTAGGGGGCAGAGGGGTAAGGAGAATAGTGGAAGAAACAAGGTGGATTGTTGGTTTCCCTCTCTGATCTGGAAGGAATGATGACCGAGGAAGGATGTGCACCAGCGGCCAGATTATTGGGAGCCTCTTGGTGCTCTCTGTGCTGGAGATAGGGCTGGGGGTGTCCAGCGTGGCCGTGGGGGCGGTCAGCTTCAGCCTGGCCCTCCGAGATCACAAGCCGCAGCTCGGAGACTCGTCCCCGGTATGGAGCGGGGTGTGTGTACGTTGAGCCATTTCACTCTCTCTTTACCTCTTTACGGTGATGGTCAGTGTGCGTGCGTTAGTCGCTCCTTTCCTGGGGAAGAAAATCATAAATCTCCTCTGGCTTGCGTGTGGGTTCATGTTGGCAGGCTATGCTTCTTTATGCTGTTCTCTTAATTATTAGTTGGGTTTTTTTTTCCTTACCTTGGCTTAAGACCAAATTAAATGGCTTTGTTTAAAGTTGGAGGGGGCTGAATCTGCAAAATGCTGCCCAGTGGTGCTGCTTAGGGAGTCACACCTGTCAAGGGCAAGCTCACTTAGCCTCTTGTTTCTTTTACAAGGAAAATCAAAATGAAAGTGTTACATCATTTTCTTGTACCAGGAACAAGCAAGAATAGAGTTATACATTTATTTCTGGGTAGCAGCACCCCAAGTACACCAAAGGCAACACAGATAAGACAAAAAGAGAGATGTGGTATGAGTGAGCAAGGAGCATTTTATCCCAGAAAACATTGCTCTTAATTTTCCCTTGCTAGGTTTCTGATGCTTCATGTCTAAAAACTCTTTTGTAAGTTCTAGGCAATAAGTTAAACAACAAATGGTATGATATGTAAGAACAGTCTAATAGGAGAGTAACTCAGCTTGAAGAGTACCTAATGCTTGGAGAAAATGTCATAATTTTCACTGGGTCAGATGGCAGACCCAAGAAGATTCTTGTTTATCTAGTTTAGGCGAATCTCCAGGAAAGCCTTTGAGACCCATTCCTTCCACCAAGGATCAATAAAATAACTCAGCACTATTCCAAGTGTGGGCCTAATTGTGAAAATCATATTTTCTTCTCCTTTAAGTTAAATAGCTTCTATATCCCTCTGGGTCTCTAGCTTGATTATACATTCCAAGATAATTTAATAGGATATTATTCTGTCGCTGATAATCAATAGGTATAATTAACAATTGTGGGTTAGTTACTTGTGCTTTAAGTCACTGAGAAAAAAATGATCATTTAAGAGTTCAAGAAAAATCACTCCAAAGTAGTTCGTTTTTGAGGAAAGTTCTAGCATTCTTTAAACTGGTATAATTATGCTTTAGAAAATTAATTTTTATATTTTAATTCTTCAAAGTGAGGCGAATGTTTTTAAATTGCAGAAATTCGAAGAAAAAAGAAAAATGGTGTTCAATTCTAACATTGAAATCCTCCAAGAATCCTTGTTCTGAATTCAATAATAAGTTACTACCAATCTCCAAATAATTACCTCTGTCTTAAGTATGTAATTTTTATCAATCTGTATTTTAAATTTAATATGGAAGGCTAAAAAGCAAATCTTAAATCTGATGATTTCACATCTTATAGTAGTAGCAATTATTTTGAGAATTGCAGTTATTATTATTGCTATTATTGTTTAAACAGAAATAGTCAGACTAAAATTTCTATCAGACAATTGTTAAAATGAAATGTCAACATTTAAAGCAAGAGGAAGAAAATGTGATCTTTTGATGACTTATGAGGGAGAAGCCTCAAATACTCTTCAAATCACTTTCCCTCTGAAATTCCAGAAATTGAATGAGCAAACTTAGATTGTCTCTAAACAGTACTAAAATATCCAGTTTTTCTTCAAGAATTAAGAAAAAGATGACATTTGCTTGACATCAAGTAAAAAAATAATTAAATGATTTTTTCTCTTTTCTCAGACTATTATCTAGATTAGTCAACATACGTGTACGTACAGAAAACGAAAATTTTGAATCAGTTCAGTGAAGAGCAAATAAAACAGTAAAAATATATACATATATGTACACTCATTATCATAAAGAATTATTTCCATTTTAACTGGTTCTTTAGAGTAGCCAAAATTTGCCTAGGATCCTCAAATGATAGTCTGGAATTCTATTGTCTGACTCAGTAAAATAAAAAAAAATACACGTGATTGAATGAATGGCTTTGAAACTAGAGTCCAAACAGTTGGTCACTTTTATAAACTAAAGTTAAAATAATCAAATATATGAAGAAATAAATACCCAGTTGTGATCATTGTTTATCAAATTATAGGCTTGTTAAATTGATTTTTAAATTATTTTTCAGAGATCATTTGTGATACAGTTTGAATTATCCCAATTCTGTCAATGATGAATTCATATAACCAATATTTATAGAGGGCTTACCATGTATAGGGCGTTTTACTTTTTAGCACATATTTAACACAAAGACTTTTCAGAGGAATCAGAATGTCTAGCAGAGGAAACAAGATGGGTACATTGCAAAATTTATCAGCAGAGAGGAATTAGAGTTTGACCTCGGAGAGATACAGGGGCAGATAAAGAGGAGAGAGGTGGGTGGTCAATGAAATTTCCATGGGAGAATTATCATTTTTCTCTTGATCTTGAAAGTTTATCGGGACTTGGAGTTAATGTATCACAGTGTTAAGTAGCATATCACAGTGTGAAGTTTGCAGTCTACCCGGGTGCAAATCCCAGATCTGCCATTTGCTATCTGGGTGATTAGCCAGTTTCCTCATACTCCATAAAACAGAGTAGTTAGCAGGCACAAATGAAGTAATGTTCTTAGTAAAGTGTGTGGCATGTAGTAAGCACTGAATAAATGTGGGCAGCTAATACTGGGTGCGCAGACTGGCAGTGAAAGATATGAGAAAGGAGAGCGTTTCAGAGAGCAAGGATGAAGGCAAAGACATGGGACAGGACAGGTTGTGTTCCAAGAAGAGCAGGCTCTTCTATTTTTCTGTGGTTTAGGTGGGTGAGAGGGAGATAAGGATGCAAAGAGTGGTTGGGGCCAAATCATGAGAGGCTGTGTGCCAGTCTCAGGCAAAGATTTATTTCCTCTTATTTTCAATAATAATAATAATAATAATAATAATAATACCAATTTTTACCTCCCAGAGAGAATCCAGAAAGATGCAGAGGAAAACTAGATTAAGAGTTGTTAATCTCTCTGGTATTTTATGAATTAAAAATCTGTATTATTTATGAATGGTAGATGAGATTTTATAACCTGTCAGGATAACCATAGTCTATAATCACAGTGTGTTTTGATTGGTTCCATCAAGTTTTTCCTAACATATCAATATCATTATTACAGGATTTCTGATTAAATTTTAGAAGTCAATGGAAATAAAAACTGTACTATGACGGGATTACTTCTTATATACAGACCCCCAAATCATAACTTTTTCATCTATGTCAAATACACTAAGAATTCAGGCAACTATTTCAATTATTTGGACCCATATATACAAATTTCAAAAAAGTGGCTTTGAAAATAAAGTAGTACTAGATAAAGGGCTTAAAAGTCCATGAAATGTGTGTTCACATGGATTATTTCCAGTCACTATTTCATAATCAGGCAAAGGATACATTCCTATGATCTAAGAAATGTGGGCAATTAGAATAAAAAAAGTCATTTAACTATAATTTCATAGAGAAAGGAAGCTATAAATTCCTTTATAGGATTTTTGCTTCTTCTTGATTCTTTGTTATAGCTGACATAGTCCCCTCATTGAAAGCGTAAAGGAAGACATTACTGTTAGATAACAATGAATGAACCATTGAGTAAACTGCTTTGGAAAGCACATAGCTATATGAAATATAATTGATGTGTGAGATGTATTGACAGGGAGTTAAATAGACAGGGCTATGTTTCTAAGTTGTTTTGCAAAACAGTCAGTGTCCAGTGCATCATCTGTAATGGGAATGGCCTGTATTTAATAGTACACAGATTCCTGGATCCAAGAGAATTTTATTTTGTTGCTATAAATTGACACGTGGATATCCAGAGATTCAAATGGTGGTGTCCAGAACAACACTTGATGCTGAGTTGTATTTGATAAATACCATGCTAATTCTATCCATTTATATCTGATAGTCATTCTATAAATTTAATTTATTAAAATAACTTTTACCCCACATGTAAACATGGTCTTTTAAAATATTCAAAAATTTTATTGTCTAAATCATATAAAGTTTGAGTGATTATTATTGCTTATTTTTCTGGAGCATATTTGATTTGTATATCATAACTTTATCTGCTTAATAAGTCAGATACTTTGGGTGTGTGAAATTTATAGTAGTATGATTAAGGCATATATTTATTATGTGAACTCTTGATTCACTATGGTAACAACTCAGCCAATTGTAAGACTGTGTTGAAATTCACCTACTATACATTCTGATCCATATCACAGCAACGCAAATGAGGTGCTGCATATAGATGATAGCTGATGATTTATTTATTTATTTATTTATTTTTGGTGAGGAAGATTGGCCCTGAGCTAACATCTGTTGCCAATCTTCCTCTATTTCGTATGTGGGATGCTGCCACAGCATGGCTTGATGAGCAGTACATAGGTCCATGCCTTGGATCCGAACCCACAAACCCCAGGCTGCCAAAGCAGAGCACACGAACTTAACTACTAAACCACCAGGACAGCCCCTCTAAAGCATCATTTTTAATATTTGAATCTGTCCAATTAATTTAATGAAAAATGAAAAAACAATAAAGTGAAAGTAGCCCCTCAAACAGTTACTTCAAATGTCCACAATTTGAAGTTAGTGTGTCTCTGATCAGCTAATATATCATTTTTCTCCAGAGTCAAAATACATAACATAAGGGATTCATATCCTTTAGCATGAGATGAAAACATTGTTCCTATTCTCAAAAAAAATTTACAAGTGTACATTTGTGCCCCATTTTAAAATTAATTTTAATTATACCATTAATTCTTAAACAAATTCTCCTTTCAAATGATTTTTAAAAAGGATCAAAACTGAAGTTCTTTTCCGTACCACTTCACCAAAATTAGCCACTGTTATAAATTTAGTGGATAATCTCATGAACATTTCTCCATGCATAAATAGTATTGTTTGAGCATACAGATCAATTTCGATCAAGTTTCTGGATATAATAAAGCCCAGGTAACGACTCTTTTCCTTATGACGCACACACTCATTCTCAGGTGCTACTTGTTATCTACTCAGGTTAGGCAACTAGAT